GCGGCGCTCGGGGAGCAGCCTGCAGCGCGCCCAGCGAGTCCCCGGCTCGCGCCCCGTCCTGTAGCCGGCTTTCTCCAAGAGCCACATGCAGTGAGGTCGGGTAATGAGGCTCCAGACTCCGCAGGGCAGACAGGGTTCAAATCCAGCGTCTCCGCCGGGAGGGCTGGACGGAGCTGGGCTGACAGGAGAGAAGAGGATCGGAGCTAGGTGATGCTGCGGGCGGCCGCGCCCGCACTCGCGGGGCACTAGGCCTGTGATTGAGCAGGAACGAGTAGGGACGGCGGACTGGGGGTGGGGGTGGGATGGAGCGCGTGGCCAGGGGCCACATTTTCGGATTCAGGCCTCGGATACCCGAGGACATAGACTGCCCCAATATTACTAAGGCTGCCCCCACCCAGCTCAGAGTCAGGGCCCCAACACACCCACTACAGCCATAGTTACTATTAGAACTAGAACAACACCTGCACAACCAAAAGGTCCTGTGTTCACAAACGCGGACCCAGATCCCGAGTCCCCTCTTGTGCACTCTTCCCCTGACACTGTGGTCCTAGGTGGGCTGCCGGCTTCTCCCAGCCCGCTCCAAGCACGTGGTCCCTTCTCCAGGATCTGGTCTAGCGCCCTCAGGACTCGCCCCCTCCGCTGTCCCAGCTGCCCCGGCGCGAGCTTCCCAGACTGAGCCGTCCTTCAGGCCTCCCCGTCTGCCCGTTCTGGCTCTTCCCTCAAGGCGTTCATTGCCTTCCCAAGTTGCTGCCGGCCCTAAGGGGGGCCTCACTTCTGTTCCCGGCAGCGGGGGAACACTCGAGACAGCTGACCTGAGGACACCCGAAGTTAGTCCAAGGATATGCACCCCTCGGAGCGCACAGAACCCCACCCGCTCAGCCCTGGCCGTCCGCTCCCCAACCCCACACCCTACCACATCCCCAGTTGGCAGGGCGGGCCCAGGCCGTTGGGTCGCACCGCCCACTCTCCACTCTTCTAGCTCGGAAGCCACACAACACAAAGGCGCTATTGATTCTCCGCCACCCCCCAGGGCCGGCTCCGGAAGGCTCCTCAGCGGTGTGCTCGTGTCAGCCCTGCCCAGCCAGCGTGAGCGCGTCATTGCAATTCTCTGCGGGGAGTCCGAGTCCCGCACAGTCTCCCCCGTGCGTCCAGGGCACAGTGCAGGCCTTACCGAAGGGCGGCTGCTGGATCCCGGTCTGTGGCTTCTGGCCTCAGGCGTGCTGTGTCTTAGGGAAGCAGCTTCCTCTCCAGCTTGCTCCCCCAGCCCTGTCTTTCTGGGAGGAGCTGGCAGGGGCCTCCGTGCCTACGTCTGACTTCTTTCCTGGACAAACACAGCTCTTGTCTCTGAGGCGGACGACGGACCTTCTTAACTTCTTCCTCTAGCCAGAGCCAGGTTTCTGGCAGCACTCTCTAGACCTCGACATGGGCCGCCTGGACTTGGGAAGGGCTACACAGAAGAGGGAGACTGCCATCAGAGGACATGGCCCATTCCTCAGAGTGGCAGTGGCCTCGGCCTTGACCTCCCATAAGAAGCCCATAGCCATAGCTGTACAAAGCCCATGGTTGGTTTTTTTGTTTGTTTTTGAGATAGGGTCTCACTTTGTAGCCCAGGCTGGCCTCGAACTGGCAAAGATCCTCCTGCCTCAGCCTTCCAAGCGCTGGGATTACAGGTTTGTGCCACCATGACTGGCCTACAAAGCCCATCTTCTGCAGAACTCTCTTTGCTGGACTCTTGCCTTGGCCCCCGGTGCTGAGTTCCAGAGCCATCCCTGGAGCTCTTAGGCAGAGTCACCAGGCAGAGTGACCTCGTCTCTGAACTATAGCAGACCAAAGAAAAGGGGCTCAGGCTTTCTGAACATAGAAGTGCCGAGGACAGAGCTGATTCCAGTTACCACTGGACCAGGCTGGCCTATGCCCACCACCTTCAGCAGATAACAGGAGGCACATGGGATATATAGAATAGGGGAGCTGTCTCGAGCAGACAGACAATAAACATGCAAACAAGGACCTCAAGACAAATTATGAAGTGCAGGAAACAAGATGAAACAAAGCAGTTCATGCAGCAGTTATTTTGTCATTTGATACATGGGTGTTTCGACAGCAAGTGTTTCTTTTGTGGTGCTTCCCAATGCCCCAGACCTTCCATTCCTGCAGCCCTCATGGGCTCTGTCCTGGTGTTGCTGCTGGTAGGGGCCAGTCTCCCTGCTGTGCTGTAACCAAGAGCTCATCTTTTGGGCGTTGGTTAGATGGGCTGGGGAGCTGGGCTTTGCAACTCACTAGCTTTGTAACCTCTAGCATGTAACTTTATCTCTTAGGGGCCCACTTGACCTGTTAGTAAATAAAATAAACCCGACTCTCAGAATCAGTGTGCGGGTTATACAAGATAACAGATGGGCATACGGCTAGGTTTTGCTATAAGTGTAAGGAAAAAGAAAACCCAACTTGAACTCACTTAACAATAAGGGCTTTTAAAAAAATCTCCACCCTAAGCCCAGAAATAGGGGAGGATTCAGGGAAGTTTAATTTTTTAGCCTCATTCATTCATTCATCCATATTTACTGAGTATCTACATAATGTGCCATGTATTCAGATAAACTCTCTAACCACATGTAGCTAACAGTTTAGTGCGGAAAGACAATAATGAAAAATAGGCTAAAAGTATAGTTTAACCGATGGAAATAGGGAAATTAAATGACAGGATGACAGGTGCCAGGGATGTATGCAATTTAATGTAGGGTGGTTGGAGAAGGCCATTTTGAGAAGGTGACATTTTAATAATAACACAAAGGAAGGAGGAAGGACTTCAAGGGAAAAACAGCCTAGGCAGAAGAAATCCTAAATGCAAAGGCCTTGAGGCAGTAGCAAGCCTGGAGTGGTCAAGGCAGCTTAAGCGGTATAGCTGGGAAAGAACCAGTGAGGGGATGAAGTCAGCAGGGAACCAGGGCCCGCATGCCAGGGCTTGTGCTCACTGGAACTGCTTTAGCTTTTATTTGTGATGAGTTAGGGAGCAGTGAGGCCTGGCTGTGGTGTAAAAAGGATCTGTGTGGTGCCTGTATTGAGGACAGAGTGAAGCAGGGTAAGAGTCATGGTAGGTGACTCATGAAACGATCTCAGGGTGAAATGACAGGTCACGGATTAGGATTGTAGTAGTCAGTTTCTGGATATTTTCTGAAGAGGATCCATCCCCATCCAAAGAGAAAGAATGGTTGAAGGTTTATCTGATGCTTGGGTTTGGATCTGTTAAATTTGAGAAGCTCATTAGACGTCTAAGCAGAGATGTTGGCTAGACAGGTGGATGTGTGGGTCTGGAGCCCAGAGGGGAGGCTGAGACTGGAGGTCGTGATGGGGCACCGAGAGAGGAGAGGATGGAATTCACAGTCGTGAGACATGACTAAGTGCGGCAGGAAGAGAAGGCTCCAGAGAACAAGCCTCGGGTGCTCCCACACAGAGGTTGGGGAGAGGAGAGAGAACCCGCTGTGCACATGGCTGGGGTGAAGCAAGATGAGGCCCGGGAATTGATCTTTAGATTTAGCAATGAGAAGTTATCCCCGACTTTGAGTGAGCAGTTTTGGTGGTGGTGGGGGCAGCAGAAGGAGTGGGGGGAGAAAGCAAGCAGAAACAACGTTACTAAAGAATTTGCTGGTTTCAAGAAGGCGGAGTAGTGAGCAGTGTCTAAGTGGGGCAGTGGCTAGAGAGGGAAATAGAATCAGGAGAATTTTTATTATTTAATTTTTTTCTACAGTGCTAGGATTAAACCCAAGGCCTTGTACTTGATTAGCAAACACTCTACTACTGAGCTACATCTTCAACCTGAATTTTTAAATGAATGAATGAATGAATGAATTTTTTTTTTTTTTTTTTTTTGAGACAGGGTCTTGCTGTGTAGCCCAGGCTGGCCTCAAAGTTTCAGTGATCCTCCTGCCTCAGCCGCCAGAGTGCTGGGATTACAGGTGTGCACCACCACACCTGGCTCCAGGGACTTGTTACAAAGGCCCTGGAAGAGCTTGAAAGGCACACAGGGCTGTCTAGAAAGACCCATTGTGGTTTGGATCAGAAATCACCCAGCGCTAGGGGCTGGGAATTTAGCTCAGTGGCACGGCGCCTGCCTGGCAAGCGCAATGTCGTGAGTTCAATTCCCAGTACCGGGGAGGCGGGGGGGGGGAAGGAAAAAAGAAATCACCCAGTGCTTTTTTTCCTTTTGTGCTTGGGTCCTTTTTCCCTTCACCCTTCTCTGTTTCTGCTACCACCCTGTGATCTGCAATAAATGTAGAAAAAAAAAAGAAAAAGGAAAGGGAAGGGAAGGGGAGGGGAGGGGAGGGGAGGGAAGGGAATGTCCCCGAAAGGCTGTGTGCTACTTGGTTGCCAGTTGATGCCCTATGTGGAAGTGATGGAACCTTTGGGAGATGGGACCCAGTTGGAGGAAGTAGGTCCCGGGGGGCGTGACCTTCAGGAATGGAGCTTGCCCCTTCTCTCTCACACTTCCAGGTTTCCTTGCGCTGAGCAGCCTACTCAGCCACACTCCACCACCGCCATGATGACGCTCAGCTTCGCTTCAGACCAGAAGCAATGGAGCTAGCTGACCATGGACTGAAACTTCTGCAATTGTGAACCAAAACAAATCTTTCCGCCTTTAAATTGTTTTTCTCTTGTATTTTGTCATGGCAGTGCAAATCTGACAAACACAGCCTGTAACCATGGGGACAGTCACTGCTTTCATTGCCTCCAAAAGAGAAGGTGAGAAACACCCTTGCTTCTCCCTGCTTTCCACTCCCAAGCTGCCACCACAATCTTCTGAAGGCTGATGAGAAAGGGGACTGAATAGTAAAGTTGGTAGGCGCCAGCCCTCTGCAATAGAAAGCAGAGTAGGGGAAAACTGGGACTCTGTGAGCAAGCAGGCAAAATAAATGACTGGTAAGTGTATACCAAAAGCTTGCTCACTTGGAACAATTAGATCTCTGACCCGGGATGAACATAGACATCATCCACCTCATTTTTTCAGAGCAGGAGCCAGAGCCAGAAAGAAATGAGGGACCAATCAGTAGCAATGTTGAGACTAGGACCCAAATATTCTTCCTCAAAGAACAGTGTTCTGTTGGGTGTGATGAGGCACATCTGTAATTTCAGCATTCTTTACTTTTTTTTTTTTCCAGTACCGGTAATCGAACTCACAACCTTGCGCTTGCCAGGCAGGCACTGTGCCGCTGAGCTAAATCCCCAGCCCTATCTCAGCATTTTTGAGAGGCTGAAACGGGAATCACAAGTTCAAGCTCAGTCCGTGCAACTTAGCAGCTTAAAACCCTGTCTCCAAAACCAAATAAACAACAAAAGATCTGTTCTTCCTTCTACTCCAGACATTTTCAGGTTTGAGCAGAGCTGCTTTCTTGCATGAGGACTCAATGTGCTGTTTCCTCAGGCTCCCCATGCTATTTTGCCATTCCTTGAGAATTTTGCAGTCAGTTTTCTGTAGCTGTAGCAGAATTACCTGAGGCTGGATAATTTATAAAGAAAAGGGCTTATTTTGGCTCCTGATTTTGGGGGCTGGGAAATTCAAGAGCATTGTCCTGGCATCTGTGAGGGCCTTGTGCTGTGTTACAATATGGCAGAAAAGTGTCAGGACAAGTGGGTGTGTTGAGAAGAAAAAGTGGCCTTACTCTCACATGTCTGAGGGAAAGGTAGTCCTCTCTCTCAATGACCCAATCACCATTTAAAGGCCCATTTCCCACCATCCCCAGAGGGGCGTCAAAATCCCAACACTGGCTCCAGAGGGGACAAAACATTCAAACTGTATCAACTTCCCAGGTGACCTATGGGTCCTGACTGCCATGTTCTTGCAGGGCCCTGTGCAGAAGAACTCTTAGGGGGTGGAGTGCTTCCTGGGTTCCAGCCAGGTAGCAGAGGCAGAGAGTGATCTGTCTTCCAAGCTGGCAGGCAAATGCTACAAGGTCCCATGCTTTTGGGTCTTGCTCAGCTATAGTCCTGAGGCCCTGAGTGGTGGCCTTAGGCAGCATGGCTGGGCTACTGGTGTTCCCTGTGAGCTCTGGTGGTTGATAAATTGTGTCATACAGCTCTGGCTCCTCTCCCAGGACCTGTAATGAATGGCCTCACTCTAAAGCCTTGGTTCTGTAAGGCCTCAGGGGTTCCTTATTCAAGAGCTGCTATCACCTACTTGTTGACCTTGGACTGGTCCTACAATGTGTGATCAAAACACAGTGGATGTTTACATTTTAAAAAATTTATTGTACTGAATGACACATTACCA